ATTGCAGTTTTATCACGTTTGGGCTTTAATATCGGATGGACTTTTCATCCACTTCAAAGACATTGCATTAGTAGCGACGGCGACGGCGATGGTGATAATAAATAATAATATAGAACACACATATAGGTACATGATATTATAATGAATATATAATGGAWTTATTTATTCACGTTTTCGCATTCCGCTAGCTGTAGCCGACGTCCGCGTCCGACCGGTTCCTGACGTAAATTCAAAAGTCAAAAAAAAAATCCGAGCACAGCGATTTTTACGGTGACATTAACCATATATATTGAATTTGCAAATTTCCGTCGTATCCATTAGTATACTGCATAATAATGGTATGTATTATAGGTATACCAATGCATAATAGCTGGTCATTTAATATGTATACCTATAAGCACCGCTTGCATATGTCACAGCTTACCACGGTCTAAACATATTATAATATGTATACACATATATATTATATACGTATGTACTATGTGCATGTATATATAACTTACCAAATCATAAACAGGATTTTCGTTGCCTCGCTGTTGAGTTTGCCGGAAGTGGAATCGGTATATACACGAGATATACAAACGGGCCATAAATATTACCGGATCGATACTTTCCAAACGTGAACATTTTTTTAGTACGACCAAATATAATACATAAATGCGCAAAAATATTCTCGAGGCGGGCGCGTATAATATAATATACATTATAATATCATATCATATGCGCTCGTACACGTCGAATATAAAAATTATGATTACGCGTTTGATGAATATTATTAAACGACCTATGGCCCACACTATCATACAGGGTGTAACAGGAAGGCTCGACCATCTGACYAACTTTTAAATCTGATTCAAAAAATGTAAAATACCCAAACAGTAAATCTGCATCAGCATGATTTAGACAAATTTTAATTWAAAAAATCAATTATTTAAATCACAAAATTAATTTTTTTAATTTACTGAAATATCATTATATTTGTGAAATAAAGTTGTTCTAGTTGCAAAAAAACATTTCAAATTCCAAAAGTACAAAAAGTTTTTAAATGCTTTATGAAATTTAAAAAAAAATTATAACTATATTCTAATGAGTGTAACTGCAAATATCGAAATTTTCAAAAAAGATTAAATTAGATTTAAAATCAAGAGKGCGTGTAACATACATAATATTATTGTTGTCTCCGACTTATACGTAAATGCGAAACATAGCAAATTTATGCTTATAGCAGATCACCTTTAGCTCCGTTAGTTTAAAAATTAGAATTAATTGACCTATTATGAATCTTGATGGTTAGGTTAGGTTGTGTTTTTGTGTGGGGTTTTTACGATTGTTCAAATTTTAGCAAGTATTATATATATATGGATACATAAAAAAGCGTTGATTAAAAATTTTCATAACTCACTTAAAAACTAACTTATCGTAAAAAATACATAATATATAGATAATGTTCTTGCCATMAAGTTTCATAATAGGTAAATTTACTCTAATTTTTAAACTAATGGAGATAAACGTGATCTGCTAAGTGTAAATTTGGTATGTTACACACTTGTAAGACGAAGACAACAAGTATGTGTGTTAATTTAAAATAAAAAAATGTTCTGAATAATATACACGTCACGTGTTTATAATACATCCATTCGACCATATTGTTGCTGATTAGTGCACAACTCCAGTGACAGGTAGACGTTTTAAGCGTTAATAACACTATTACTACTTAAATAGAGTTCGATGATTACTTTAAAAACACGCACATAATATTTAACATAATATGCTATTATTCCACGTCGATGTCGAAAAAAAAACGTAGGTACCTATAGCTAGTATGCATATACCACTGGCAAATA